TTTGCCGATTGTTAATTTATTCCTCACCCCTGTGGCCCTCTTTTGCAAATAAATACAGTACCCGATCGCGTTATCTTTATTTGCACATGACCCGTGTAGGCACTTTTGTCAATTAAGAAGATAAAAAAAAGAGACAAAAACAAATGATCAAGTGTTGATGAGAATCAGACGTTAGTGTGTGTTTAGGTTGCCCATCGATGTCTCACTTTGTTTTAAAAAAATTACCTTTTGATTTCCTGAATTTTTATTTTTATAGGCAGAATCTCAATTCAGGAAAATTTCAATTTCTAATGCATTTTATGCAAATTTTATTTCAAATTGAAAAATTTCGTAACTGTCGCAAAATATACTGCATTTTATGGAAAATATTGAAATTTACGTATTTTATATAATGTTACGTAAAATACCTTATTTTACATAGTTTTACGTAGACGAACATAATGTACACTCGTGCTCATTAATGCCTTCTCTCAGGGAAGGCACTAATTTGACGCGTTTTGCCCACTTTCTATATTTTTTATAGTTTGTGCCAATAATTCCATAGGAATTTTACTTTTCCATTGGTTGATTTTTTATACAATATAGATGGTAGGCAAAGTTCGTGAAATTAGTGCCTTCCCTGAGGGAAGGCATTAATGAGCACGAGTGTACAATGTCATAAAACTTCGTAAAAAAATTTACTTTATTTTACGTAACATTACGTAAGTTACTCCATTTTTCGTTATCGAGGGTTATTATACTTTTACACATAGAATAACGTATTTTTTTTATAAACTTACGTTTTTTTGATGTAAGATAATACATTTAACGTGACATTCTGTATTTACGTAAAGTAACGTTTTACCATTAGAGCATTTACGTAAAACGTCATTTTACGTAAGATAAGTACATAAATTCATACGTATATGTACGTAAAATAAATCACCCGAAAAATACTTAATTTCATGCTAAGATAAGTATAGGATACATTTTAAACGTAATCTTAGATATCTTACGCAACCAAAACGAAACCTAATCGTAAGTCGTAAATTTCTACATGAGAGAAAAAAAGACAGAAATAACCTTTGTCCTTTTCTCTCACGTAAAAGTTTACAATTTGCGATTAGGTTTCATTTTGCTTAAAATATTTTTTTTAATTATATGAAATTACGCTCTTTTGTTTTAGTGTTTAGATAAAATGAATTGTAAATTTAAATGAAGTGAGATCCTATCTTTTTTGTTTAGTTTTCAGAATGTAGTTTTTCTCAACATTTACAATGGATAAAATCTAATGGTACGATCACAGTTATGAATTTTACTTAATGTACAGGTAACTGCTTGTATGCTGGCCTTCCGGTTTGTACACCTTTTTAAAAACCGCGTCATTTCTATTAAAATCTTTAGTTTGTGACTAAGTTTACCACAAACTATTAATTGTAGAAATGACACGGTCTTCAAAAATGTATGCCAATTTTATGCAGGAAGGACAGCATATAAGCAGTTACCTGTACTAATAAACTGAAACAGGGACTTTTTCTTTCATATAGCTACGACACTTTACAGATAGTGCTGCAAATCGAATAAGAAAGGTGCGTTCATATGATGATATAAACGAGAGAAAGCCACGTGAGTGAAAGAGATAGTAGATATTCATCTCTTACATTCACTTTTGCTTTCATGCCCACATGTGAATGAGGCTTAAAACTAGAGACATCTAGTGACTTTGAAACAAATGACGCTGTGACCGTATAAAGAGGTTTTTTTTTCAAATTTTGTTTTAAAAAAATGACACATTGATGGGCAAGCTAAAAGTGTGTGGATGCTAAGGACGTTCACTATAGATAATTCGACAAGGTACGCAAAGTGCAAGCCTGGCAATAACATAAACAACACAAGACCAATTTAATAAAAATACGTTAGCATAATACTAATACAAGGGCTGACGCACTAGAGGACAAGAAGTAGACAAGACATAACAGAAAAAAACAACAATCTGACGACATACCACAGATAACACAGAGTAGACAGGTTTGTACTGTTTTGCAGTACGTAAATATGTATGGTACGTGGTTTTGGTCGAAAAGGATAGTAAACTGGGACAGTGCCGGCATCCTGTCTCTACGTCGAGGCGTACATCCGACGACAATTGTGTGGTGGTATAAGGGGAGAGAGGGGGGGTGGTGGCTTGGAAGGGACAGAGAAACTTCCCCAAAACCAAAACGTTGTCACGAAGTATGAACGATCGGACGAGCGTGACAGCTGGGAAAACTAATAGTTACGCTACTATTGCGGGCACGAGCAGAGAACAACGACGCGACTACGTGACGAGAGTGAATGCATTGAACACGTAGAAAATGTCAACTTCAAGTTATTCCTTCGACCGTTTAGCTTAGCCTCCTGGAAATTCCGGATTCAAAATCGATTTTCGGAATACCCAAGTGGACAATTTCTCCACGTGTAGTTTGGCTATATAACTTTTTTTCCCCTTGTCATATATTATAAAGAAAGTGAAAAAGTTCGATTTCTACTTATTTAATAATACAAATCTTATCATTTAATTTTTGCAATATTTTTATTTTTACTAAAAAGTACAATTTTTTTGTTTTCGATTGAGATTATTATCGTTATTTCTCTGGCAAAATGAAATCAAACTATGAATGCACCTTAAACAGTGCACACTCAGCTGTATTTCTACAATAGCTTGTAAATGCATTTGTTATGACTGATTCAGAGTAAATTCATTTTCTGCATATAAATTTACGACAATTTATTTAAAATTTACTGATTTTAAGTAAACTTGTATCCAAAATGAGCAATTACTAAGAGTGTGAACTTGATATTTTTTTACCGTTAGAGTTGTAAATGCACCGTTAAGGGTGGAGTCCCATGGCAGCGTTTTGCGTTGCGTTGTAATAAGAGAGAAAGAATGCAGCAAACGTATATTTGCGTCTTTTTCTCTCCCATTACGACGCAACGCAAAACGCTGTCATGGGACTCCACCCTTATGCTTTACTTCCGGTTTAACGGCGTTTTAAAAAGTCGTGTAATACATCTATCGAAATGTTGTTAGTTCGTGGCGTAAGTTAAAAAGTCATACGTGACTTTTTAAAGCGTTCAACTGGAAGGAAATCATTAAAGTATCTGAGTGTATATTATTGCCATCTAGTCAAAATGAAGTAATATTTTAATTCTTTATCAAACAAAAAAAAAATTTATTCTATTCCCTCATCTCATATTGCATTATAATTCTATGCTTGACTGTTCCAGGGAACTACTTCCAGGGCAATGAATTTTCCTGAGTTTAGAAAATCCAACAAAGGCGAAGTTTTTCTGCTATTCTTGTAAGTATGTATAACGTAATTTTTTGATTTCATACTCATAGTTAGCTACTATTTTGTGCATCGTTTTTTAGTTTTCTGACGCTAAAAATGACTTTTATGAGAAATTTAAATTTTAGTGATTAATAAATAAAAATTAATATTTATTATTTTTCACAATAATAATAAATTCAATGAGGGTAAAGAATTTTATTTTCAACAATCTAAACAAAATTTGCATTTAAAATAAACATTAAAATTTTCTGTGAATAAGAAATATTTGTTAAATTTTAGGTTATGTTAACTAACGAGTGCAACGAAAATATTCCGTTTTAGCTATAAATTTTCGAAATAAATCACCGCCATTCTATTCAAAAACTAAATTTATCACCTAGTATAAATTTTAAATAAAATAATTTGCAGCAAAAATGAAAATTTGAAAATTATAATTTATAGGTAATTTTAGTTTGAGAATTAAAGAAATAAAGGTTTAAAATTTCTTCAAAAACCCCCTTTTTCCTGAGAGTAAGTTTCAAATGAGATAAATTTCGGGTAAATCAAGTGTAACTATTTGGCTCTAGAGAAATTTCGTTATTGGTCGAGAAAAATTTGCAATTCGAAAAACTTGGGAGGCAGTGCCAAGCTTCTTCTTTTGTCATCCGGAATTTCCATAGCGCTTACGAGTCGAATATTCAGAATGTCGACCTAATTTTCGACATTTGAAAGTTCGCTGGTTAATTTAGGGACCGAGTTTGGTCAACGTTAACCAAACATCTTTTCTCTTTACTTAGGACTCTGCTTGCACCCGTACAAACGTTACTTAAAAAGAAGTAAAAGATTTAATCATAAAATGCAGCGTTCCCTTTATTAAATTTACTCTCATTAATTCAAAATTTTTTTCATATTTTCATAAATTGTACTACTTTATTATTTAGATGAACAAAGTGGAAAAAGAAGAAGAAGAACTGTCATTTTTCAAGGAAAAAAGTACTTTAAAATCAAAACAATTTCATGTTTTTCGTGACAACTGCTCTAAATAAACAAACAGTACCCAAAGAGGACAAAAATAACTATTTTCTATTTTTTTTCAGAAAGGGGACGCTGCAGTAAAGAAAAACATTTGTCAAAGTGAAGACGGAGTACGACTTGACGCAAGACGAGTTCACACAGCACTTGGGATAAGGTATATATGAAAAGCAATAAACAGTGTGATAAGAATAGTAACAAAAGAAGTGTATACGAGAAACAAGCTGAGACGATTTAAAAACATTGGCAACGCAAAAGAAACGAGACTTTGAACTTTATTTTGAGACAACAATAAAAGAGATTTTCTTATTATTTTTTTTTCTTGTAAAGAAAAAGATTCGTGTCTTGATTGTACACTTGTGTTCATCGATGCCTTCCTCGGACGAACGTGTTGCACTCATATGTTTCTATGAGTGAAACACGTTCATCCGACAAAGGCATCGATGAACACGAGTGTACATTAAATAGAAAAATTATAATAATAACGCACGTATCAGCAAAGAACAAAATTGGAAAGTAAAATAAATAAGGCGGAACAGGCTAATAAATTTAGGGAGAGAGCTCATACGAAATAAAAAATTAAAAAAGACATGTAAGATGATAATAATGAAAACGAGCGACGAGCATTAGATGGTTTTTGGACATGAACGATTTAGCGAGAGCTGAGCTGCAACTTACCGCGGTGTAAAGGAACTCCAGAACGCACTACGTGTGGGAAAAAACCAACGAGAAGAAAGGGCGTTACCACACGGTCACAAGAACCCACGTTTTGCTGGCAATACACAACATTGCAATTTGCGAATATCCATACCCATTTTGCAAAAGTTTCTACACCTCCCCTTTTTTAAGATTATCATCCCTTTTTTTATTTTTACAATCCCCTTGAGTACTAAAGAAAAAAATTAATCTTCTGCAGAATGGGGTGATGGAACATTCCAATAGAATCGAGGGTCTTTTTTTTCTACACGATTTAGAAATATAAGAGAAAATGGAAAAAATACGAATGATCAAGTTTTCAATGAACGGGAAATGTTAATTTTCCATTATAGGGGAAAATCAAACAGTTTCGCGACAAGCGCTCCTTGCAATGTTGCTTATTGCCATTTTACAGAAACAATAGACGTAGACACACACTAATCAAGCTCACCAAAACGGACACGCGATCGTTTCAGCCACGCACATGAACTCAATCACTCTCAGACTCATTCAACATAGAGTGGTATAAAAAACATATGACGGACACAAGTTGGAAACTACGTAACAAAAACATATATAGTGACACTTGACAAGTTTGACGATTTTCCGATGGTTTTTTTTCACTCTATTTCAAATAATAAAAATTAGTCCTTTAGGAAGATTTTAAATAAAAATTTTTCCTCACGTGTGCTTACATAAAAAGTGCTTTTAAAAATTACTTGAAACAAATTCTCGGTGATAAAAAGAAGGGCAAAAAAGCAGGTGTTTCTCACAATTTCAAACTTGTGTCTACCATATTGATGGAAACTATTTATGATCGACGGATCGAGACGTTCTTATATATTGTCTTTATATGTATATATGTTCTAGATGATAAAGTGATTTTCTGTCTAGAATTCTTCATCATGAACGTCCCGATCCGACGTCTCTTTATATTCTAAACACGATTTTTCTTTTTTTTTTTTAAAGACATAAACATTTTTTAGACACGTTTCTTTTTTCTAAAAATACGTTTTTTTATATTAAAAGAAGTTTTACCATGAATTATTTTTTTTAACGTTTTCATTTCGAGTATCTTAATAAGTGATAATTGCGATTGAAGTGAACTCGCGCGGGAAATAAAGATCAAACAAGAAAATAAAGAGAAAAATAAAAAGAGTAGAATACGTGAAAGCAAACAACACTGAAATAAAATTATCCACCCGCAAACGACACAATGTTGTTAGTCGTGAATTTTGAATTTTGGCCGCAACTCGGGCTCGGGTTTTTTTTTCTCTTCTTTGTTTTTTGAGAGAGAGAAAGAGAGAGAGAGAGGTTGGTTTGGTAGGGTTTTACACACAAAAGGAGCAACACTAGACAACGTACACGAACCCCTCGAATACCAGGTCGCACCACGAAATTATATTCACCTCGCATCACTCTTGGAAAAATGAACCCCATCCTTTAAATTTTGACGTATTTCTTGTTTAATTTAAATATTGACCTTTAATAATTGAAAACTTAATTTATTAATTTTTTTAACATTGTAAATTATAAATTATTTAATTTTCTTTTCTCTTTTATAGGTGAATGTGAAGACTTAGTGAAATTAGCGGAGCAACGAGAAAAAAAAGGTTTCTTTGAAAATATGAAAAGACAAATTCCTCTTTCATTATTAATGTGATAATAAGAGGTCGAACATAAACCAGACAAAATATTCATGAAAAATTAAGAAAGACTCTTTCCTCTTTCACTGCAAATGTGAAGTAAGAGGACTTCTTTAATTATTAAAACATTCACGAAATTCGATTTAGAAATATGTTAATTACTTTCTGAATAGTTTTTAATTAGGAAAAACGTTCTTTTTGGATTAAAATTTGGATGTCTGATAATAAGACTTTTTTTCGTAAGATCGAGATTTAAGTATAGTAGAAAAAAGTAATCGGAGTAAAATCGATTTTTAGGTCATTGTTTGAAACTAGAGAATTTTGAAGGAAACTCGGTCGACCAGTATGGTAGGTGTCCTGGTTTTCACTTGATCAAGGAACGGAACATTGACTTTGTGTTCAACAAAGTTTCATTGAACGTAGAGAATGAGCGCCCGTCATGAACTTTGTAACCGTCACATTAATGGGTAACATACATATATATATATACATAGCCGCGGGGAATAGAAGTAAAGCAATGACAAGGTCCTTTAATCGTCAATGCTTTCGAGGTGATCGTCGGTGCTCCTGGCATTTGAGGGAGGGAATGAGGTTTTGATACACGAGGAAAGGGATGGTCCAAAGGTGACAGAATCGACGTTTCCCCTTCCCACGAATTGGATGGGAGAAATTCTCCTCCGACAACAACACGGTTTCTTCTGCACCGATGCAACTCGGGTGGCCCGTTCCTACCGAGTAAAATTGATCGAAACAAATATCCTTGACAATCGGTACGCGCTCACAACAGGGGAATACATTTGTCGAGTTGGAAAGCACAAAGTCAGGATTTTATTCTTTTTTTTTCTTATTTCTTCTTTTTCAAAGAAAGATTATTGCCCATGGCATTGGCCGTTTGGATTATCAAAGAGGAATATTTCGTATTGTCAAGTCTCGCAAAAGCGTCTCAAGATTTTTTTTTCACATCAAATTGGAATTTCAATGTTTTGAGTTAACAAAGGGAGTCGAATTTTTTGCTCAAGAGTTAGAGAATTAGCTTTGTAAGTGGAGAAGGTATACGGTTATCAAAAGGGAAAAATTTATTTAAATTCAAGACGAAGGTTATTTGCTAACAGTGGAAAATAATTTACAAGCTACTAGTAGAAAAATTTTTTAAAAACAATCAATTTTTTTGTCGAGAAAAATTAATTATTCCCCTATTGTGAGCTTGTAGCGTACGTTAAAGTTTGCCAATTATAGTACTTTCGATACAGCCATGCACCAATTAAATTTCATAATTTTTCTCATATAATAAGCGACGATTTCCACCAGTCCGCGATTTGCTTTATTTTTTTTTATTATTCAGTAAACCGTTCGAGGCATGCTTCTTTTATTTTTAAGAGAAAAAAAAGACAACTAAACGCGTCATGCCATAATAACGAAACCGTATCCGAATGTTTACCAGTTCTTTTTTCTTTTTGGTCACTGAAATCTTTACCGAACTTTACTTCACCAGACGCTTCGCTTTCAATCGAGTTTTCCAATATTTTCTGAATACTAAATTACTTAGAAGTAAGAAAAATTTGCCATAAAACGTTCATTTTTTCAATAAATTGATGGTTTCTTAATTGAAATTAAAACGTCTAACGAAGTAGATGGTAATTGATTATTAGTCACTGCAATTTTTCTTTAAAATATCACGGTGTCTGTCTTTTAACGTATCCTAAAAACAAAACCTACCTTTCACCATACTCGTCCGTGTGTGCGTAACTCTGTACGCTGTTCTCTTCGATCAGAAATTTGACGCGTTGATAAAAGGATGCAGTTACACTCGGTGGCTGCTTTCGGAGAAGAACCTCAACAGGATCATTGCTGGCAATGCACATTATGTGATCAGCGCACGCTTCATGAGAACAGCATTCGCTATCGGAACAGTCGATCATTCCATCTGGATGATCATTATAAAAAAAATCCCCATTAATCATTTAAATTTGAAACAACTATTTATTATCAAAAATGAGAATCTCTTGTTTTTCTTAAAAATATCGTTTTATTTTCATTATGAAAAATTTAAATATTTCTAGGATTATCTTTCAAGGGTTATATAAAAGAAATAGTATCAAATAAAAAAAGTTTATCTTGAACAAAATAAAGAGAGCCCGAGATCATTAAAATTTTCAATTATCCTTTGACATTTTCCTTCCTATCGAATTACTCAATCATTATTGGAAATTCACAAAGCCCTTATGATATAGCCTCGAATATAATCTTTGCCTCGTCGATGAAATCAAAGAAAACTTCTACTATCACGAAACAATCGAGAAATTGCTCGGGATCTCTATCAAAACTCGGGAATATTTTTTTACAATTACTGCGGGAAAGTAATGAATGAAAACAAAAAAATATATATCTTACCCTTGTCGTTATCAATCTCATCATTGCATTCCATCTCGAGGGGGATACTGCAATCCCTGCCAGCCCAACCGGTTGCACAATCGCAGCTGTACTCGCCATCTAAAAGACTGCATAATCCATGTCGGCTGCACGATTTCTCACAACCAGCTATACGAAAATTTTACATATTTCATTGAACTTGATTAGATATTTCTTCTTTTTTTCTTATCGCAATACTCACGCAATGTACAGTGCTTTCCGTTCCAACCTTGACTACAAACGCATGTACCATTTTTACATTGTCCATGCTCTGCACATCTTGGATCACAAGGTTTCTGATCACATTTCGCCCCCGTCCAATCGTCATGGCATCTGGGTAAAATTTTACATTTTGTTACACTCTCATTAGAAAGTATTTTTAATTAGATTTATTTAATTTTAAGGAAAGAGAATGAATGAGGGATAGTAAGGGGAGGATTGTCTTTTTTTTTAATTGCAAGCTGTGTACTGACTTGCAAACACCCTGCTTGCAGGTTCCATGTGGTCCGCAATCGAGTCCACAGCTCGGTTGTGAGCAATCGATTCCAGTCCAATGCTCCTCGCAGATGCAAGCGGCCGATTCTAAATCGTAAGTACCATGTTCGGAGCAGCCTGGCAAACATTGGTAGACTCTTTGGTCCACCTGGTTACACCTTTCGCCTTGCCAACCCGCCTTGCAATAGCATTTGCCTGCAACGCAGGCGCCATGTCCACTGCAGCTGGGATCCGGACAGTCAGCTGCAATCCCCAATTTCCAATTACTTTCTCGATACTTTCGCAATTCGGTTGACGAAACTTTAATGATAACTGTAAAACTTTGCTTCTCCCTCCCTCCCTCCCCCCGCTCTCACACTCCGTCCCGTCTGGCGAATCGTAACCGAATACTGATTGCAAGGGGTCGCCGATGAATGGATCAACTTTTTAAATTATGGATCAGAACAATTCCATTATTCTCGGAATTTGAGAGTCACAGAAGGATTTCAAGTTATTTAAGAAGACGTTTCTGTTTTGATTGTCTCCCTTTTCTTTTTTTTATGAAATTAATGAAACTTTAAATTAAAAAAAACGAATTTAGCATTAGTAAAAATTAGTAAATTAGTAAATTCGTTTTTTTAATTATATTATTAGAATTGGTACTCAGGAAATCAAATTTTTGGATTTTTACATAGTAGCTGGTGAATTTCTTTACTATCAGTTTTTGGGAAGTCAAAGAGAAATTTGTTTTTAAAAAATATCGTAAAAATGCGTCAGTTTGGAATAGATAGATAAAATGTAAAACAGAGTGGTTTTACGATAGAGAAAAAGAAAATATTTGCGACGACTCACCTTCAGAGCAAAATGGTCCTTTCCATCCAGAATTGCAAATGCATGAACCTCGTACGCACTGGCCATGTTGGTTGCAATCGGGAACTTGGCAATCCCCAATGGGTATGTCGCACTCGGCACCCTTCCAACCGTCCTCGCAGTGACAGACGCCACCTCCATATTGTCCATGCGACGAACATAAAACCGGGCAAACGCTTTTGCTGCAGTCAGCGCCCTAAGAAAATACATAAAATCAACTTTGATTTTTGTTTCGCCTTCTTTATATAAACACATAAAATAGCGGAAAAAAATCTCCTTTAGTAACTCACTAGATCTCTAGTATTTTCATCATTAGATAAAAATCGAAAGAGAAAAAAATATTAAATTTTAAGAATATGAGCAAATTCACCTCATTTTTAAAATGGGGTCAAACATCCTTAATTACAAAAAGATTTTGCTACATCAGTAATTAAAACTGTAAATGTGACTTCTTTTCAATTAATGCTCGTTTTTGTATTATACAAAAGCGTTTAAAAGAGACTCACTAAAGAAACTGTATGCTTCATTTTTTTTAAAAGAGAAGAGTTTAAAATTTTTGAAACATCATCTATATACGAAAAGCGACCCAATTTAACCAACTGCTCCTTATTTATAAGGAATTAGTCTGGAAAGTAATTGCTCTTTAATGACGCATTGCAGTGCTGCGACGTTCCTCCAAATCCCATCCTTGCAGATAATCCTGCAGCGTGTCCTGACCCTGCAGATAATCCTACAACCACCCTCCATGGTTTGGGGGTTCTCACTACAGAAAGATGGTTGTTATATATATATGTACATAGATGTACATAGATGTACATATATAGATATAGCTCTCGAGATAATCGCATCATTTTTCCTTCAGTCAACAAAGACAATTCCAACAAGTTCGCTCTAGTATTTTATAAACTGTCTATTTTGATAATCCAGGAGAATTATGGCTAAGAAGAATTTCGTCTCGCTATTTATCCTCTTAAGCAGGATTTATACTGTACTATATAGAATTGCAAACATAGATGGTGGAAAATAGTTGAAATTATATTTTTTGTCTTCTTCTCCAGAAAACCAGTTTTCTTCCTTTCTAAGTTTTAAAATTTTTTAGTTTTTCTTCTTATACTGTTACAGATTAATCTGTATCAATAATTTAAAAATTTTCAGGGCTCGAACTAGTAAATCCCTTACAGGTCCGTAAATTTGCATAAAGTCCGTAAAAGTCAGTTTTTTTAAAAAAAAAATTCCTAAAGTAATTAAATTCTTCTCCGAAATTAAATTATTTTCAAAAATTTTTAATAAAATTCTTGTCAAATTTCAAAAAATTTCCTCAATTCAATGATTTTTAATATGTATCTACTATTTTAATAAAATTTTCCAAAAGAATTCAATTATTTAAAAAAAATTTAATAAAATTCTACCCAAACCTTTAATGATTTTCATACAATAATAAAAATTTTAAAGGAATTCAATTATTTACAAATTTTTTTATAAATTTCTTCGCAATCATTCAAATATTTTCATAAATAATAAAATTTTTACAGGGATTCAATTATTTTCGTAAATAATGAAATTCTTTTTAGGAATTCAATTAATTTTATGAATAATAAAACTCTTCGCAGAATTTCAATTATTTTTAATAGAATTTCAACCGAATTCCTCGAAAAATTGAAATTCCTCGACAAAATGCTTAAAAATTTTAATTAAAATTCTTGCAAAGAATTTAATTATTTGAAAATTTGTTGATAACGATTTTTTATGGGAATTGAATTTTAAGATACATTCATTTATTTAATAAATTATTTATATTTGTATTTAAATAATTGAATTCTCTTAGAATTTTCTAATAAAAATTGATTTAAAAATGAATTTCAGTTAAAATTTTAGATTATAATTGAATATTAAAAGCATTAGAGCGTGAATTTTTAGAAATAATTGAATTTTGAAAAGGTTTCAAATTAAAATCTTTCAAATTTTAGACTAACAATTCTGTAAAATTAATTTTTTTAAATAAGATTGATTGCAGATTTTTTAAAAATATTATATTAAATTTTTAATAATTGAATTGTAAACACATGAATTTGAAAATCCTCAAAGAACTTTTTCAAAAATTATTTAAAATAATGGATTTAGAAAAGAATTTCAGTTAAAAACACTAAAAAAAATTGAATTTTGGAGAAGTTACAAATTATTGCAGAAATTCAATCATTTTCAAAAGTAATAAAATTCTTCGCAGAAATTCAATTATGTTAAAAAATAATAAAATTCTTAGGGATTTAATTATTTTCATAATTAATGAAACTCATCTCAGAATTTCAATTATTTTAAATAGAATTTTAATCAAATTCCTCGGAAAATGTAATTATTCTTGAAAATTTTATTAAAATTCGTCGAAAAAATCCAATCATTTAAAAATTTGTTCATAAAATTCTTTATGGGAATTGAATTTTAAGAAACATTCAATTATTCAATAAATTATATTTATTCTTGTATTTAAATAATATTGAATTATCGTAGAAATTTCTAGTAAAAATTGATTTAAAAATGAATTTCAGTTAAAATTTTAGATATAAATTGAATATTAAAAGCATGACATTTTTTTTTTAGAAATAATTGAAGTTTGAAGAGGTTTCAAATTAAATTCTTTGAAAATCTGAATATTTCATACTTTTAACTAATAATTCTGTAGAATTAACTTTTTTGAAAAAGTTTAATTGAATTTTTTTTTTTGAAATTACTTGAAGTTTTTATTTTATAATTTATTTAATTGAAGAATTTCCAAATAATCGAAATTTCGTAAAATTGAATTGTAAACGAATGGATTTGAAAATTTTCAAAGAACTTTTTCAAAATTGATTGTAAATAATTGATTTAAAGAAGAATTTTAGTTAAAAAATCTAGAAAATAATAATTGAATGGAAATGGTGAAAATAATTTTGAAGAACTGGTTCGACCTTGGTATTTTTTAATCTAGTTGGAAAGCTAAAGATAAAAATCAAATTTTCGGAATGTTTGTTCATATTAGGAAATGAATAATTTCTGCTGTCCAAAGTAAAAAGCTACTAACCGTATTCACCATGACCACTAATTTTAATTTGTGCCTTCATCGGGTTAGTTAAGAAACTAGTCCCGATAGATTTATTCATTTTATTATTTTTTTGTTTATTCTTATTTATTTAATATTTATAATGTGTTGCATTAATTGGATTATTTATTAATTTTTTGATTCTATATGACTCCAATGTTGGATGTAGTAATTTTTTATATTTTTGGACGAATTTTATTTCTCCGACTGTTACTAATTTGACTCTCTGAAGAGGAAATCCGTCGAGTAAAGGACTAAGCACAACCGTTTCGCGAACGTTGTTTGCGAACGCAAAGCATGAGTTAGAAAAGCACAGAGATATATTTGTGTCCTTTTCTATCTCATGCATCTCGTTCGCGAATCTATTGTGCGTTGGCCTTTACATTAAAGAATCTTTGTCTGAATGTCTTCGTTTATCTTATTATTACTAAAGAACACTTTTCTTAGTAGAGTATGAATATTTGTTTCGTTAATTAATTTTGCTAGCTTTGAGCACTTTTTTTTTAAAAACGGTACAATATTATTTCGTCTATACAGTCTTCTGCTTTTATTTGAAAACGTGTTTTTATATTTTTATAACAAAGAAAATATCAGCACTGCGCTGTTTTCTGGTATTGAACGTAATCCGAAAAATTGAGGTCATAGGTTTAAGGACCTCACTTAATACTGTCTTGGCAGTACGTCTAACTAGTAACATTAAGATAAGAGTATGTTTAAAAGAGGTTGTTAGGTTAATCGTATTTCTCACCTGATATCCATCGATGCAATCGCACTTGCCCAGATAGCATGAACCTCTTCCAGAACAGTCATTTAAGCAAGTTGTGGATACCCCCTCAGCTTCGGTGACAATTAGCGTGACTTTATACGGTTGTAATTCGTCATTATAAACAGAGAGGAACCATCTGCCAGTATCTAAGTACTGTAAGAGGCTGACATTAACGAGCATTGACTCTATAGTGCTTCTTCTAATTAAATGATGTTTCGTATCCTCGTCATTCTTTCTCTCGTGTTTCGATGAATAAATACTGACATCAGATGTTGTGACATCCCTCTTTAGTCGATGATCAACTCTTCCCCCTTTGACAAATTCAACAAAGTCATACTGCGTGACGCTCGGTGCAACATTTCGTCTACCATAAACCGCAAAGTTCGCACCCCAAGGTAGTGTTAAATTGAGTCTTATAAATGCCGGTTGCTTATTTAGGAACTCGGTATTCCAAAAGTTGTATGACGGTATCATGGCGGAATGTGCAACATTGTATGCTTGCAATTCCAAAACGGCGGGCCATTGTTGTGCCGATTGTTGAATCTGTGGATCACTTTGTTGTTGCTCGCCAGTATTCTCCGATGCACTCGAATGTTCCGCTGTACTCGTTGGTAGACTCTCTGTATAATAAAAGAATGTATTAGAGAATGTATTAGAAAAAATTTCTATATTTGTAATTCAAGTTAATTTCTAGAGTAAAAGTTTTTTTTACCTTCCGTTGGAACCTGTGTTGATATCGAATCATGAACGTGTGAATTCTCATGGGTGACAGCCTTTATATCTTGAACTAAAATACAATTGGTGCTATCCATCGGCCGCATTGAACTCACGGCTGTAACGAAAAATAAATAATTTACATTTTATGATATATTTCCTCATGTCATTACATACTTAAATGGATGTGTCATTAATAAGAGAGTAATTAGAATTTTGAAGATATTGAACATTCGATATCGATCACTAATTGCACTCGGTTCGACGATTACTATTTCGTAAAGAATGCGACGATTTTTTCTCATGCCTTGTTCATTACAACATATTTAAGGGGAAGTTAAAAAGTGACTGAATTACGAAGAGAAACGGAGCGAGATAAGCGAACTAAATTGCCCGATGAAGCCAGAAATCATCGTGTATAACGATGAATCCCAACGAGAATCCAGTTGAGAATTGTAATCCCTCTTTTGCCTTTTTGACCCCGAAATCCGATGAACGTAAAATCCTTAGAATTTCCCGAGTCGATGTTTGGAAACTAACGCGACCAAGAAAATAGGTTAATGGTTATTGAGGACATTTGTATGCCTATAATTTGCGGAGAAAATAGGACAAAATATATGTATATAATGAAAGTCTGGAATCTCATTAAGGACTTCATTTTAATGAAATTTTTTGAAACATTTAAGAATCTGAAGAAACATTTTTAAAACTTTGTGCATACTAGATGATGAGTAAGAAAATCTATGTTTGTGAAACAATCTTTATAACCTGATACATAATTTTTGACAATTAGGCTCTAACTTATTTAACTTTCATCAATTTCGGTAACTTGGAGAAATTCAACACTAAGCATCGAATCTCTTGGGTGCTTTGTGTTAAGAGAAGCGTAATTTTATGGTGATTCAACAACCTCAGAGGTAATTCAACTCTGCATTTACGCGCAGAGCGCTGAATTGACCATTACGCTTTTGTGGGTTGACGATGATTTTGTTCTATACGCAACTTCGAACGCTATATATAACTATTGTTGAAATTGACTTCCAGTGAACTGTGAATGACCTTATTTCATGATCGCAGAACCCATTTCCCCTAAAGTGGAAGCTGCGCATCCCTCCGCGCAACGCGTATACCAGGTCACCCGAAATCCAATGTATAATACATACATATATATATATTTCACATAGATAGTACGGTCAGGTATCTGTAGAAATTGTGGAAACTCAATAACTTAATGATATCCGAGCTAACAAATCAAAATTATTACAGTCCCTTTCAACGAAAAGGTTTTCAACTAAATAGAATGATTGAATAGTTTTTCTCTATATGTAAATGTATAAAATTTACCTCTCGTCACGAAATTCCTTTTACTTTGTATTGGATAGAATTTTTTTTTAAATTTATCATTAATTTTCGAATATTTACTAAACTTGTTAAAAGTTAATTAGTACATATGGTCGCACAAGTTTCAGTTTATCAATTTCCCTGATAATTTACTGACATTAATTTGCCTACCAAAATTTTTTTACAGAAAAATATGTAAATTTACGAAAAATGAGTGAAATTTATGAAAATTTAATAATTTCTAAAAATTACAACTATATAACTCTTCCTGAATTCAATTATTTTCTATAATTTTCAACTAAACTTCTTCTCCAAATCAATTATTTTAAATAATTTTCCGAAAGTGCTTCGAGAATTAAATTATTAAAATACGAAAATTCAATTTTTTATAATAATTGTAAGTGTCCATGTTTTTTTTCAGTTTATTAAGGTACAATATTTTCAAAAAATAAAAATAATCAAATTTTTGAAGAATTTTAATTGTAAATATGACCATGGTTTCTCCAAATTTTAATATGTCCAAAAAAGTAAATTTTTATTTGCTTTATTCGAAGATAATTAAATCTTATAAAATTATGATAAAAAAATTATAAGAATTAAGTAGTTTTTAAAAATATTTTAATGTAATTTTTCGAAAGCAATTGAATTTCTTAAAAGAGTTTTTGTATTATTTAAAGAAACTAATTAATTTTTTGATGAATTTTAATGAAACACTAGCAATAATTCGCGCGGCTAACTTCTTACTGCCTTTTTTTAAAAATAAAATTAGCAATTTTAAAAGTAATAGAATTTAAAAATTTTCTAATTTAAATTTTTGTTGAAAACACTAAAAAAAATTCAATTTTGGAGAAATTACAAATAATTGCAGAAATTTAATTATTTCAATATTCTTATAATATATATTTTGAATGTCTTATTTCTTAATCACAGTTGTTTAACAATTTTCTAATTTTTTTTAGAAGTAAAGAATTATCTGCATAATTTCAATTTAACAAAACATAATATTTAACAAAAAATTAGTCTTTCAATGAAAAGAAGTGAAAAAAATTCTAAAACTATTAAATTTCAAAAAATTAGAAGCTAATTTTCATTAATTTTTATTTTTAAATTTACGTTGAAAGATTTTTCATTCAAATTTTTAATAATTCAATTATTTTGAAAATTTACAATTAAAATTCTTCAAAAGTTGATTTTCAAAAATTCTAATAAGGGAGCGTTCACAAATGATGTCACGCAATTTTTGGAGAGTTTCAACCCCCCCCCCTCCCCCCTGTCACGCAATTTTTGCAATTTCACATGAGAAAAATACATTGTGTCACGTTTAGTAAGACCCCCCCCTACCCCCAAAAGCGTGACATCATTTATGAACGCTCCCTAAAATAATTGAAAAAAATTAATTATTTTCAATTAAATTTTACAATTTTGAAAATTTATAAATAGAAAAATGAATCAAAAATAATTTTTGTTAAATTTGTTTATAGTTATTTTTCGTACTATAAAAATCGAAATGAGTTACATTCAATAAAAAAATAATGATATTTTGTTGCAATATTTGGAAAAAATCGCAATTTTTGAAAATAAGTCGAAAAAAATCTCAATTTTAAGCAAATAAGCAAATTTTTTTTGCTGACTTTACTGACATGTGGTTGCCAGAAAAATTTTATTTTTCTCTGATTTTTTTCAATGAATTTTAAAAAATTTTATTTAAAATTCTAAAATATATAAATAGTTACTTCTAAATTATTATTATTGTAGAAAAATTAATTAATATTAATGCAAAATACGGTTTTTTAAAATTTATTTTCTTAACATAAACAGAATTTTATTTATTTTAATGTCTTGTTCTATGTATAATTAAATTTTTTTTACAAATTATAGAAATAGAAAATAAAAAAATAGAAAAAAATAATTTTTAGTAAATTTACATTACTTTTGTTTTAATTGGTTCAAAACTTTTACTAATTCAAATTAGAGAATAAGTTTTGAGTTATTGTTGTAAAAAAAATTTAGAAATTAATTTATTTTACACAATTTTACGTTAATTATGTGAAATTTTTTTTTATTTTAAAAGATAAAATTTTTGATAAGTTTTTATATTAATTTTTATATTAGGTACTTGTAATTTTTGTAACTTTTTATAAATTTGAATCTGAAATTATTTAGTTTTTGCATAGAATTTTATCAAAATTTATGAAAATGATTAAATTCTTTCCAGAAATGTAATTAAAATTGCAATTGATATAAAGAATTTTATAAAATTTTTTAAAAAATAATTGAATTCCTTCTAGAAATTTGATAGATATAGCATAATATTTAAACCACGAAATTAAAACATTGAAAAGTGAAACTTAAACTAGTAATTAAAATAAATATTTACTGAAAAGTTAAATATTATTAAAGTGAAGTTTTCGAACAATGACTCTCTATTCTGCGTGGTAAAGCATTAGCACATAAAAAAAAGAAGTTGGTTAGAACTTTCCGAAAATTGCTTAAACTTTCTATAAAAAAGAAAAATTGTTCCAAAACTTTATGAAATTTTGTGAAATTCTTCCTATGCGAATCGCTAAAACTCTTTTTGTACAATAGTTTGAAAATCTTTTTTGCTTCCTAAAACTTCCATGACTCTAGGCTATACTCTCGAATATTCTAAATATTTTCAAAGCGTCAAGTTTAGAGTAGCATTCATGAAAATTGTATGATCATCGAGCTTTTTTTTGTGTATAGAGAGAAATAGGACTATATACCATCCCAGTAGAAATTCCATTCGAATTGTTGAAACTTTCTTTCTATTTTTTTTTTATTTTCAAGAGTGAAAACTCATTTATAGGGGATTTGAAATTCCGGTCTTGAATCGAAAGAGAGAGAAACTTTTTTTTTTTTTTTTTTGCAGTTTGTATGTTGTATATAGAAAAAAGTTAAGTCCCGTGTGGAAAATGAAAATTGGTCCTAGCCAGGTCCTACCTATTTTGCCCTGTTAATAGCTTGGTCCTAGGTTGGCAGTGTAGGTTGGACCAACAATGGGTGGTGATGCGATTCTAGCCTGGTCCTAACTTGGGAGCCTAGTTAGGACCAGTTTATGGGTCCATTTTAGGACCTAGAAAGGACCATCTCAGACAGTATTTTCTATTTCATTATAATTTTAATTAGTTAATAATATTTGTTAAAGAAATAACCTAAATTATTAATAATAAGTATTAGTTTTAATTAATTATAATTTTTTTCAATTAAGTGATGACCAAAAGCGAATTCATAAATAATGTTAGTATATGTAGAGATTAATATATATTCCTCTAATATATACATTAAAAATTATAAAAAAATTAGAAATTTGTTAATTAAATTATTTTACAGTATATATAATCATTAAATTGCATACTTATACGAATACAATGCAGAAAAATCGGAATAAACGCAAACCTAAGAAGTAAATAAAATCTAACGCACGCGGGAATCGAACCTACGACCTACGGACTACGAGACTAACGCCCTAACCACTATGCTAATGAAACTAGTTGAGATAAAAATTTTTATAGTCAGTGACTTGTTGACTTGCTTTTGATGATTCAATATAGTATTTATTGACACCAATACACGATAATAAATAAAAAAAAATAGTTTAACAACAACAATAATAATAAAATAATATTCAAATATAAAAATTCAAAAATTAATATTTTTATATTATATCAAGAAAAAAAATATCTATACATTTTCGTTAAAAACAGGTTTTTCATTGTTCTCAATCATTTTTAACATTAATTTCTTGGTCTAAAAAAAATATTCGTCTTTTGGACTTGGAAATTTTTTCTAATTAATTAAGCGGGTGATCCACTTTTTAAAAAAATGTCAAAAAAATTTATGTTAAAAACACGTTTTTCATTATTCTAAATCATTTTAAGCATTAATTTTTTGTTGCAAAAATTTTTTTAGACTTGGACTTAGAAATTTTTGCTAATGAAACTAGGAAGCCCAGGTAGGTCCTGGGTTGGACCTGGGTGGGTCAGCCCACATTCGAATTGCAATATCTCTTAGTGTTTAGCACCAACTTAAACGAAACTTAAAATCAGCGAACGAAATTAGAAATATATTTTACTAATGATAATTATATTGCAGTCTGTATCTGTTTAAATAAATAAATAAATTTTGCTGTTATATTAACTTTTGTAACAAATTACTTAAAAATTTGCAGTTTTTATCTAACTTCGCGATTATTACACTTGAGTAGTGAAATATGAAGATAATTTATAATTTTAACAATTCAGCATTTGTTTAAACAAAAAATTGTTGTTATTTATTAATTCTTAAGACAATAAAGCGTCTAGACACTTGTAGTCTTTTAAAATTTTGCAATTAACTAATCTGAGTATTTACTTATTGCAAAATTAGAAAAAACTGCTAGTTTCTAGGTTGATTGTGTAAAAAGTTAGTAAATAACAATTATTTGTTTAAACAATTGCTGAATTAATAAATTAATAAATTAACTTTATTTTATAGTATTTGTATAATTTTCTGATTTATGTCAAACAATAAATTGTTTAAACAAATATGATTATCAATTAATTTTATAAATATTAATTGAGAATATTTATCAATTTTTACATGTTTTTCATGTATCAATTTTGACACTTTATTTTCCTAAAAATTTTTCTAAGTCATAACTGGATCTCCTAGCTAGTACCAAGTTAGGACCAGCCCAGGATATATAAAAAGGGGTTGCCAAGTTAGGTCCAAGCTAGGGCCAATAATCATTTTAGGCATAGCATGGTGATTTCTACACGGGGTTGGCTTACCGGCAAAGTAGGCGAGCATGGCAACAAGAGCAACGGTGAGGAGAATCAAGGCAATGGAGAAGCATTTCCATGAGCATCTATGTTGACACCTCTTATCAATATGAAATCTTGATGGTGAATAGGGAGAGTAATGAGGTACCGCTGCTGCTCGAAGTGGAAATCCTGGCATTACCAGGGGTTGACCTTGGGCCCCTGTTGTGCCATTTCCACCGTTGCCCACTCCAGTTCCCATTCCACTTCCAAGGGAACCAACAGGGACTTGTTGTTGTGGTGGCGGTAATCTGCAAGAAAAACAAAAAATTATTTTTACTTTTTTGTAAATACAAATTTCGCCAAACTTTTCAATCTTAAAAATACCAAATTTCAAAAAATTCATATTCTTCAGGCTAAAAATGATGTTAACAAAAAAACATAGAACTGCGAAAATAAGAAATAAAGAACAGGATTCACCGATAAAAATTGAATATCTTTTAAATAATGTATATATTATGAATAATTTGCGGAGTGTTTATTTCAGAAACGAAGACATGAATGAATGGTTAACTCGTGACATGAAATGTAAAATGCAAATTAGAAAATTTATCACCAGGGAATGCTTTAAATTAAATAAACCGTACAGCGTTCTGTTACTGGATATTTAATGAGAATAATAAGATTAATGATATCGAACATTACTTCGTGATAAAACTGACAACTAAATGGAGATTTTACTACATATTATATTATAATTATATTATGCAACATATAGAAGACAAATGAGATTAATTTAAGATATTTAATATTTAATTGATCGAAACAACGAATATTATCATTAAGCAAATCTAATTTACTATATCAAAATATAGAATTTATGCGATTATATTAATACAACCAAATAATAATTTATCCAGATGAAAACACAAAGCATATATTTTTATATAAACATTAAATGCTTTATTTTTAACAAGGAAATTAATAGTTAAGAAACTTCATATATATATTATATGATGAATAATTTGCTTATTAATTTTTTTGCCCCTAAATTGGATCCGCCATTTTGAAATTTGACGACATATTCGAATTCAACGTGGAAAAATACGTTAAAAAACGTTCTTGTTTTCTGGTTGTTAAGGCTTTGTACAGGGCTCGAAACAGTGAAAAACAGTTTTTATTTAAAGATACGGACTTTACGGAACAAAATTTAAAAATTACGGACCATTTACGTACAACAATTACTGACAAAAATAATATAACCATACGATTGAAATAAGAGAACATTTTACTTAAACCAATACAAAATGTTTTCAAGAAATTAAAATTTTAAATCCTTTTTTTATTTAGAGGTCGAGAAATTTGAGTCTCAAAAACTTAAAACCGGTTCTTTCACTATAAAAAAAAGGTTCTAAATTAGAGCTGATTTCGGTACTAAAATAGAACCAAATTACGATTTAGTACCACTTTTGGTACTAAATTAGTACCTTTCTTTTTACAGTGTTGATAGGGACCCTCAATTATTATTGTCAAGAATTTTTAACTAAAATTCTTCTTTAAATCAATTATTTTTAATCATTTTAAAAAAAAAAATGCTTTGACAATTTTCAAATCCATTTGTTTACAATATTCAATTTTACGAAATTTCAATTATTCGTAAATTCTTCAATTAAATAAATATTAGAAAATAAAAACTTCAAATAATATTTAAAAAAATTCAATTAAATTTTTTCAAAAAAGTAATTTCAAAATTCAATTATTTCTAAAAATTCACATTATATTGTTTTTGACATTCAATTATAATCTAAAATTTTAACTGAAATTCATTTTAAGTTAATTTTTAATAGAAAATTCTACAAGAATTCAATTATTTAAATACAAAAATAAATAATTTATTGAATAATTGAATGTTTCTTGAAATTCAATTCTCATAAAGAATCGTTATCAACAAATTTTCAAATAATTGAATTCTTTGGAAGAATTTTAATAAAAAATTTTAAGAATAATTACATTTTTCGTGGAATTTGATTAAAATTCTATTTAAAATAATTGAAATTTTGAGATGAGTTTCATTATTTATGAAAATAATTGAATCCCTAAGAAGAATTTTATTATTTTTTAACATAATTGAATGTTTGCGAAGAATTTTATTACTTTTGAAAATAATTGAATTTCTGCAATAATTTCTTTGATAATTTTCAAATTCATTTGTTTATAATTGAATTTTACAAAATTTCAATTATTCGGAAATTCTTCAATTAAATATATATTAGGAAATAAAAACTTAAAATAACATAAAGAAAATTCAATTAAACTTTTTCAAAGAATTAATTTCACAGAATTGTTGGTTAAAAATATGAAAGACTTTAATTTGAAACCTTTACAAAATTCAATTATTTCTAAAAGATTACGCAATAATGCGTTTAATCTTCAATTATTATCTAAAATTTTAACTGAAATTCATTTTTAAATTAATTTTTAATAAAAAATTCTACGAGAATTCAATTATTTAAATACAAAAATAAATAATTTTATTATGAATATTTGAATGTTTCTTAAAATTGAATTCTCATAAAGAATATTATCAATAAATTTTTAAATAATTTAATTATTTGGACAAATTAAAATTCTATTAAAAATAATTGAAATTCGGCGAAGAATTTTATTATTTATAAAAATAATTGGATTCCCAAAAAGAATTTTATTATTTACGAGAATAATTGAATTTTGTTAAAGTTTTATATTTTTTATGAAAATAATTTAATTATTGCGAAGATATCAAATAAAAAATTTGTAAGTAATTGAATTTCTGTGAAATTTTTATTATATTATAAAAATAATTAAATGTTAGCGTAGAATTTTATTAAAATTTTTTTCAATAATTTAATTCTTTTGAAAACTTTTTTTTAAATAGTATTATATATTAAATGTCATTGAATTAAGGAAATTTTTTTTAAAATAATTGAAATTTTGCCAAGAATTGTATTAAAATTTATGAAAATAATTGAATTTTGGAGAATAATTTTATTATTTATAAAGATAATTGAAATTTTGCCGCAAGAATTGTATTAAAATTTATGAAAATAATTGAATTTTGGAGAATAATTTTATTATTTATAAAAATAATTGAAATTTTGACGAGAATTTAAAAAATTTTTGAAAATAATTGAATTTCTGCGAAGAATTTTATTACTTTTGAAAATAATTGAATTTCTGCAATCATTTGTAATTTTTCTAAAATTCTGCAAATTATATCGTACAATTTACGAACTTTTCGTCCTTTTTCAATCAAATTACGAACTTTACGGACCTTTTTTCAAAAAAAGTAACTTTTACGGACTTCAAACAAATTTATGGACTTAGTTTGAGCCCCGCTTGTAAAAATATATTTTTTTAACAATTTAATAAATAACGGACGTAAAACTATTTAATCAAGAAAGACTTGTATTTATCTAATACTGAATGATTAGTTGGTTAAATATTTATTCGACAATAGTATGAAGAGGATAAAAAAAAATTAATAGAATTATATTCGTTTGCGTCAAATAATGTTCACACGCATTGAAGAGAAGAAGAAGTTGTAACTGTCACCCCTCGCTTGTATAATATATCGACAGTAAAAAGATAATTGTTGATTGTAGACCCTGCATATAGAGTCGAGTGTAGTGTCTGAGTGGAAAATTGGTGAGACTAGTTCTTTCAATGACATGTCACTTTCAGATTACCTACATCATGATACATGACTTTATAAACTCAACTCAACAAAAACATCATCTAATCAATGTTTATAGTTTATAAAATTTAGATTCAACATTCAACTACATAATGACCACAATAATTATTTATAAATATTTCAACTTAAAATAAAGACTTATATCCTAGGATTTTTAATGGCATAGAATTTTAAGATTTTAAAAAAATTATGTAATGAATAAAAATAAAAATTTGTTGAAAAAAAAATGAAGTGGGAACACTTCAGTTCGATTGAATATTACACAATGTGATGAGGGGATGAGGAAACTGAGAAAAGGAGGGAAAATTTTCCTAAAGAGAGAGAGAGAGAGAGTGACTCAGTTATTTTTCTCGAAGAAACATTGAATAGAGTACAATCACCCTGTTGTCCTAGGGTAAAATATATTCAATATTTGATCACATGCAACGTCATTGCTGGGAGTTGTCAATGTACTTATTTCTTTTGACAAAAGAAACCGTCTCGTCTTCAATTATAAATGAAATCGATATTATCACATTGGTTAAAAAGAATGAGAAGGAAAAAGTTTGTGTACTTCAAAAAAAAAAAAAAAAAAAAAAATTGAGAGACAGCTGAAAGTGAGTGGTGCAAGTGTTTTTCTTCCTCTCTCTCTCTTTTTATATATATACTCGTCTACCATCTTATATATATATATTTTCATGGGTATAAAACTGTTCGACATTGATGCTTCGATAATAGGGTTGCGTACACTCAAGCACAAATGGTTATTCGCTTATCGATTTCATATTAGGCCAACAGGAAGCTACTTTCTCCCCCTCGAAGCATACTAGAAGGCCGGAAATAATTTTTAACGTTAGTGGAGGGCGTGTAATCGTATAATGGAACTAATATTACATTTTTTTTCTTTTTAATAAAAAGCTATTTTTTCTTATTGCTTTTTGCTCAGATAAAACCAAATATTTCTCTATATGACCGAAAAAATGTTCAAAAGAAATATTTTTCATATTTTATATATTGAAATGTGTAATTTTGTCACAGAGATATATATAGAAGTCAGAGAGTATTTTTATTTTGGCGGAAATAGTATTATAAAAAAATTGAAAAAGAAATTTTTTGGTTCACGTTATTTTATTTAAAAGGGTTATCGTAACAAACAGAACTTACAGGGACTTTCCCGGGAATCCCAAGTTTTCAGGTAGTGGACTGACTGTATCGACAGTACTACCAACCATAAATGTTGAAATCTACAAGAATCCCGCGACTTTTCAAATCAGGGTTACCACGCTTTTGATCATTTCAAATTCCCTAACTTTTTCAGATTTTCCAGGTTTTTAAAAATTTTTTTTAAAATTAAAAACAAATTTTTAATTTTTTTTCATTTATATTTTATAAAATTAAATAATTCCAATAAATTTTTACACATACATGGAATTTTCATAAAATACTGTATTCCGCATTTTTGTATTTATCTTTTTTAAATAAATATTTAATTATTATTTTTCCATAGGAATTAAAATTCTTCAAAAGATTCAAATTCAAACATTTTTGAAATTAAACAGCTTATAAAAAATTGTTATAAAACATGACCGATTGATAAAA